TGGCGAGTTGTGAGCCTTTCGGAGGCGGGACGAGGTCATTTTGTCTTCACGGTGTTGTGTTGTGCAGCAAGACATATGCAGATTTTACCGTACGCAGACGTTCGTATGTGTGTAAGCTCTGTGTGTGTGTGGTATACTAGGTGAATGCGTATTTATATTTCTATAAATAAATCTGACATGTATATGCACACCTTGTTAAACGTACCTGAGGAAGTCAGGATCTAAGATCCATCTTACACGGATGATCTCCCAGCATACCCATAGGGCATACCAAGGGTGTTGAACTGCATGTGGAATTGAACTTTTACAGATGCCTGCCGTTCACAGGCCTCAGGGAAGCTTTTTTCCTATAGATTTACTTATTACCGACTTGCATGCTATATAGAAGAGCACTTACGATCTTTACAGTTATGAATAAGCTGTATTTGGTAACAGCATAGCTGTTTTTGTTTGATATGTGTGTATGGGAAAATGCAAGCCTAGTGAACATTAGTATTGGTCTCTAGATAGTCCATGATGAGTCAGAATATATCTTTATCAAATTGGTAGCACCTGTTTCTTTTCCAAACTTCTGTCTTGAGTTGGGGCATGCAGGATGTGTTGGAAGGGAGGGCTATTAGGAGATCTCCCAGTAAGGGGAAGATCGCTGCAGACCACACAGTTTTTCATATTTCATAGTCCTTAAGGTTACAGTGTAAATATAAAAAGTAATCATGCAGATATTGGAGGCACATACTACGATATTCACCTACTTAAATATCCCTTAGCTTCCTCTCCTTTGCTTTTCTATTTCTCTTCAGTTTAGATTACACGTGCATGGTAGCAGAATCTTACATTGTTTGTGCAGTGCCAAGTACAAAACAGGTACGAAGTTCTAGGGAATAAAATTATTTTGGTTCAAGGACTTATTTTCATGTATGCGTACAAATTCTGTGTTTAAAAACAAAACTCCAGTATCCCAACTTTGCCAAAATACAGTTTGTCTAGTCTTAGCTATACTATTTAATGTATTTTGTTACACTTTCCTTTTACTCAAGGATCAGTGTTGTGGTTTAACCCTGGTGGGCAGCTCAGCCACACACAGCCACTTACTTGCTTCTCCCCAGTGAGACAGGGGAGAGAATCACAATGGTAAAAGTCTGAAAGCTCATGGGTTGAGATAAAGACATTTTAATAGGTAAAGCAAATGCTGTGTATGCAAGCAAAGCAAAACAAGGAATTAGTTCACTGCTTCCCATGGGCAGGCAAGTGTTCATCCATCTCCAGGAAAGCAGGGCTCCATCTGCATTAATGGTTACTTAGGACAACAAATGCCGTAACCCTGAACACTCCTTCTCCTTTCCCTCAGCTTTTATTAACGAGCACCATGTCATATGGTATGGGATATCCCTTTAGTCAGTTGGGGTCAGCTGTCCTGGCTGTGACCCCTCCCAGCCTTTTGCCCACCTTTGCCCACTCATTGATGGGGCAGCAGGAGAAGTAGAGAAGGCCTTGATGCTGTGTAAGCACTGCTCAGCAGCAGCTAACACGTCCCTATGATATCGATGCTTTTGGTCACAAGTCCAAAACACAGCACTGTAGGAGCTGCTATGAAGAAAATTAATTCTATGCCAGCCAAAACCAGTACAATCATGTATTAGCAGGTAAAGTCTGGTACTCTTTAGCAGCAGTGTCCCCAAACAATTACTAAACTGCACACTCAAACCTTAACAGTGTTGTTTAGCCTTTATCAAATCAACAAGGTAGACAGGACCTGTGTTTTTAAGGTAGGATTTAAGGTGAATATTCCCAAAGAAAAGGACTGTCAATTTATCACAGAGCGAGTTTGCACATGTACCTCCCCAGGGAGATTGGCAATTGAAAGAATCTTGACTGTACTACAAAGATGGGCAGGTAGAAGCAAGTCCTGGCTGCAGTTCTTTGTTTCTAATGTGCTAGACAGTGTTTGAAAAACTAATATACATAGCTTTCCTCTAGCAAAAAAAAATATTCACGTGCCTTGGATTACACTGGTTGCTGTCCGATTAACTTAAATCAGAATGGTAAATGTTACTTTGTGTTTACAAAGAGGAGGAAAAACCACTTACTTCACCTGCGTGAATGACTTGTATGACTGAGGTCTGTTTGGTTTAGTTACTGCACTTTTAAATTATGTTGAGATTAATACATGTTAACTTGTTGGGAAAGTTTTAGATGATCATCTGTAAGTTGTGATGGGTCTAAAACATTTTCCTTTAGAAGATGAGGGAGGTAATTGCAGGAAGATTAATATTGTGCATATTGACAAACAAGTAAACTCTCTCTTTAGTATTGACCTCACAGCAGATGCAACTACTAGTAATGCCAGTGTCAATAGTACAGACTCGAAGCAACAAGAAGATGACAGCAGCTTCTCACTGATAACCTGGAACGTTGATGGACTGGATCTAGGAAGTCTAAAAGAACGAGCTAGAGGAGTCTATTCTTACCTGACATTGTAAGTATAGCTTCATCTTTGTATTGTCGTGTACCCCACTTTAAAGGAGAAAGCAAGCTTCTTGTTTTAGATGTGTACAAAATCTTCATGCCCGAATTGTCTTAACGCTAGATGCAACAATGCAGTCACTTTATAGATCCTAAATAGCTGATATACTGGTTGGAAGAACCAGTGCAGCATCTCAAAGGTTAAATATTTTGTGATGGCTACTTTAAAAAGCCTTTTTATAATGAACAATACCTTTTAAGTTGCAGTCGTACATTAAGAGCATACTTCCAACCTGTACATGAGAGAAGGGTAAAACTGCAAGAAATCTGTCTCATCCCAGTAATATGAATAACTTCATGCTAGAGCAAACTTCTTGAAACTTCACTAAAAAAATCTTTTTTGCTATGTGTGCTTAGTGGCTCTCTTGCCATTGCTGTTACTTGTCTATCAAAATAGAAAATGTGCAAGGTAAGATAGACCTGTGATTACCTTTCATAGTTCCACTAGCGGAAGCCTCCCTTGAGTGTATTTATGAGCAGTTTAATTGTTACATAAATTGATTTATCTTAATACAGTAACTTAGTGTAAATTAAGTTATTTAAACAAGTGATAATTTAAGTTCCTCTTAAAACAGCAGAAACCCCTTAACTAAATCAATTTTCGCTTGATTTTGTTAACCCAGGGGGACGATATTTTTGTTTTGTAAACAAGGCCTTAGGTTTGTTCTTCGTCTGATTAGAACAGGGCTGTTCAGCAGTGTGGCAAAAATAAGGACAGCTGTAAAGTCATGTCTAAATCAGCATTTTCAGGACTGCTGCCCCACATGAACTGTTACTGATTGCACAGCTCTAAGAAACAAAAGAGCTTGGCTTTGATGAGACTGGAGAAAATGAATGGCAGCTTACCTGAGGGAATCCGTTGTAAGGGAACGAGGTGGTGGTTAGAATCTCCTGGAGAACTTAGATGTTGCAGAACATGTTCTGAAGCTGCTTTGCAGCTGCTGAAGTTGAATTCCTTGTGTATGTAGTATGTGAAACCTGTGTAAGTGTTTGCAAGATCAAGGTATAAGGAAGTAATGCGTTTTATTACCATGTCAGTTCCGTTTTCATAATAATCGGTTTCCTCCCTTTTAACAATGGTCATGTGTCTACTTGCTAGCACATATGATGGGGATAGGGTGTTTTTTTTTTAAAAATCAAATTCTTAAAATATCTAGGAAGGTGAGGACAACGTACACCTGAAATACCTGACCCTGTTCCATTTGGCCTCAGAGTGTAACAGTGCTACCTTTCAGTAGTTAATTTAAAATATTTTCTTGCTGATTTCAGATACAGTCCAGATGTCGTGTTTTTACAAGAGGTTGTCCCACCATATCTCTGTCTTCTACAGATGAGGGCAGGCAGTTACACTATTATTCCAGGTAAGAAATAACCTTCAGTTTCTAAAGACAGAAACTGGAAGAAGTAAGTTCGGTTTTGTTCTGTCTCCCTTGACAAAATCTCTGACCATTTGTAGGAATGAAAAGAGTAAAGTGAAGAAGGAGGCATTAAATTACTTCCTGTGTTTTGATAACAGGATATAGTTTGATGCAAATTATGCATGTGAAAGGCTTGCTTGCCTGGTGGTTTTCTTTGTACTTTTTCTGCCTTTTGAAAGACTGATAGCAGGGTGGCCAAAAAAATGCCATAGATAAGACATTTCATAAGTATTTGCATTTAAAAAATCTGAAAAATTCACACCACTGTTATCAAACTTTGAACTAATGACTGTGTACATCTTACAAATTAACACGCTTCTCCCAGATAATGGTAAAAAGGTCTCTTTCAGAACCTTAACTTCTTTATGGCATGGCAGAAAATATCCTCGACCATTTGTTTCCATGCTCCTCTTTAGGTAACATAGATGGCTATTTCACTGTCATAATGTTGAAGAAATCAAGAGTGAAGCTACTGAAACACGAGATAATACCTTTTCCAACAACTGCCATGATGAGGAACCTTTTGGTTGTGCATGTGAGTGAGTTAGTATGTACTAACCAGCTGTGCTTCTGCCTTCAAAACAAAAAATCCCTGGAAAGACTGGACTAGCTTTACCCTATGATAGTCTCAAACAGCAGAAAAACCTCTTCTCCAAATATACAAACCCAGTTGCATTTGATATTAACAAACTTAAAACTTTTATGTAAGTTACTGGCCATACTTTGTTTTCAAGTCTCATAACCTCTGAAAGCAAAACTAAAAGCCTGTTTTCCTCCTGTAAGCCATTTTTCTTCAGTGTAAAACTAGTATTAACCAGAGCTCTGTCATTCAGTAATTTACTTTGTGATTAGATTTGGTCTTTGAACTTCTTATCAGGGTGTAGATAGTAACATTGCCTCTTTGTTTCACACACAGGTGAGCATATCTGGTAATGAACTTTGCCTTATGACCTCTCATCTGGAGAGCACTAAAAATCACTCTAAGGAGCGTATGAAGCAACTGCAAATAGCGTTAAACAAAATGCAACAGGAGTCTGAGTCCACTACTGTTATATTTGGAGGGGATACAAACCTCAGGGACAATGAGGTAAATAGAAATAAGCAACCTTGTTGTTTGAGAAAGTATTCTGACAAGTCTTCTCAGCCTTTTCTGTTGTCTTTGTGAGAAATGACCTGCTTAGGCAGAACAGAGATATGCAACATTTATTCTTGAAAAGTGGAAACGTGACTAATTAGAAGCTGCAGCATTGCTATGCTGAGGCATTGTTATAGCTGAGGTCATGTATATGAAGAGCTTCCCCCTACCGTCCCCCCAGTAACAAAATGCATTACTGGCAATATTTTCATCTGAGAAGATGCAGGGATAGTTGATGAAGTTTCAACTTCTAAAGCATCTTCTCATTTTGAGAACCTGATCTTTACTTGCTCAGCTCTCTGATTCTTAAGGAGTTGATGCTCGTAGATTCAATGAAAGAAGAGGATGCTCTGGTAAAATAGATCTTGGGAGTTTAAAATTAATCATCTGTCATTGAGGCATTCAAAAATAGAAGTCACTGATATTAAAAGTGAAATTTGTGCATTATTACTAAAAGGTCAGTGTTTCA